TTTAAAAGATGCGCTGCGCAATTCTCTACAAAATCATAGCTAAATTATAATTTCAGAACTTCAATCAAGAAAATTAAGTCAATTAGACGAAAGTCGAAAAAAATGTCAACTTTCTAAACTCAAAATTGATTTCTTGTGTTAACGTTTCGAAAGTAAGAAAAACTGAATTGGTCATTTTGTAGCCCGGACTTCGCTCTATCTTTTAGCTACACTTCAAATTTTTTCACATCAAAAGCCACCACGAAATAATAGTTTTTCTAACGGTTGTCATGCATTTTTTCATTAATTTTTTAAATTTTGGGTATAGTAGTGCTTTCAGTAAAAGCCCCATAACTCCATCAAAATAAAAGCTTTTTCGGTCGGGTTTGCTTTGCTTTGATCAGAAATGATTGCTCTTCTCTATCTAACTGCCAAATCAAAGTTCAATCATCTTGTCCGTTTGCTGATTGAGCACATTGTTGGAAACGGAGAGATTATCAACCTTTGACGTATTTTTGTAACTTCGTTCTCGAGCACACCATCTGCTTTAAAAAAGTTTTTTACAGACCACCAGAAAAAGCACATTTAAAGGTACCAAACATAAACTGAGTTCTCACTTTTGCTACACTTTTTAGCGGAAATAGTAGCAGAAGAAAAAGTTCAAGTCGAAAAAAATTTTGAGTTTAGAAAGTTGACATTTTTTTCGACTTTCGTCTAATTGACTTAATTTTCTTGATTGAAGTTCTGAAATTATAATTTAGCTATGATTTTGTAGAGAATTGCGCATCGCATCTTTTAAAAAAAACATTGAGTCTTGGAAACAAACCCAAACCAAGTTATAAGCAAAATACGGAGAGGGACATTATTTATGGCCCACCCGTTAGTCAACGTCGACATACTTCTGATTCTGTTTATTTATTAAAGCAGCCCTCTTCGTAAGTGTACGCCATCTGTTGGCGGCGCTTCAAACGTTTTCGGAAAAACAACATGTATTTAAAAATAAAAAAAACTTGTAGATTCTTAGAATTACTGAATTTCGGCTAAACTATCCGTATTTCTGAAGAAAAGTTCGACCAATCACAAACCTCACTTTATCAAAAATATCTTATCAAATATCAAATTTTCGCCCACAACCCTCATTGATAGCAATTTTTGTGCCTTTTGCACATTTTTCCTATTTGGAGCTAGAAATTTTCTTTATTCTTCTTCTTCTTATCCAATTCTTTTATCCAATCATATGGAGAATCTCAATCTCACTGAGCAACCAGTCGCTTGCAATGATGTTCGGTTGTATGTACTATAAGAGTTGTTTTTTCCTTCTGTTCAGCGTTATTCTTCTCTTTTCTAAACGCTACCTTGACTTGTTTTGGGAAAATGTTTTAGCTATATTTAGCATCTATAAGTTAAATTTTCTTGTTTCGTTTATTTTTCTGAGTACTGTTCTTCCCATTTAGTAGTTGAACTTACAGGACTCCTTTGTTTTGCGTTCCGTTTCAGTACTAAAGATAATAGTACTTTTCTTCTTTTTGTATCCTTTTCGTAATTTCAAACCCAACCGTTTGTTTTTCTGAGATTTTCTCCTAAATTAAAGAAAGTACGCAATGAAAGAACGACTTGCATTTTGATTGTTTAATAAAAAAGAAATTTTAAGGTGAATATCCTTCCGAGTTTAAGATCGATGTTTCTGACGCTGCACAGTTTATGCTAGGAGCTAATCTCGAAGTTGGGTGAGACAAATTTTCTCTGAATCGTATATCTTCATTTTATCTAAAAAACTATTAACGTGTGTTTTGCTAGATGTCAGAAAATAATTTAATAAGTCCTGGTGACATTGTCAATACAGTTTATGCACAACGTATAAAAAGTTTACGAGAAAAATGTGACAAAACTGATGATGACCCACAAGAGTGGATTGAAGCAACAAAAAAAGATCCTCGTGTAAGTATAGTACTGTGTGGATTCTTTTTTCTTGCTCAATTCAAACTAATTATTTACTCATCTTTTGCTGTAGAAGATGGTTGCTGAAATGATGGACGAAGATCGAAAATTATATGAGCGTAAAATGAACGATGTTAATATTATCAAATTGAAATATAATCAGTTATGGAAAGAATTACATCCAGATAAAGAGTGTCCAACGTATAATGAATCGTTTCTTGTTTTGCTAGCTTTACGAGCATATGAAGAGGAATATAACAGATTAAAAAAACAACACACAAAATTATTGGAAAGAGAACCAGAAATTAGACGAAAAGAACAAGAATTGTGTAACGAACTAAATGAAAAACCATTAGATTTAAATAAAAATACTTTATTAGTCACATGTATGAGTTTCATCATAACACATATTTTAGAATTAAGAGAGAAAAAGGTAGGAAACAAACTGTTCGGCTCATTTGTTATTAGATTGGTTGTCTTCGCGTTTTCGTTGGCTAGTTATTGTTTGTTTCGCCTCATCTTCCTCTGTGGGCATGTCGACAAAGTTATCTGCCTAGATGCTTAGTCAAACGCAGATATTTTTTGTTACAAACTTTTGCACTAGCAATGTTTTTTCATGTATCCATGGCTATGCCAGAATAAACTGAACTAAACTAGTAAATGTCTAAATCATTTTTTACTATTATTTCTGTTTATTCGACAGCTTTCTGGAAAAAACTGACTATATGACAAATTTTCAGATTTTGATCTAATTGCTTACTTTATTGTTTTTATAGGCAAAACATATCGAAAAATTGAATAACATTGTATCAACATTGAAAGAATTTGAAGAATTATACGGATGGGAGCGTCCAACAATCGAAACGATGGTTGGTCGATTATTAAATATTGATGATGTTTCAAAGTTTTCTTTAACGAAAGAAGCTATTGAACTTATTGAAAAAGAATTCAGTGAAGTACGTTTTTGTCCTCTTTATTTTAATTGTATGTGAGTGTATGCATGTTGTCGTTCTTAGATATCGAGTCAAGTTCGCAATGCTGTACAAAAATTTAAGCAATCACAAAATATTCTAAAAGATTTGATTCGCAAACATCGTTCATTAAAACCAACAAGTGAAGCTATAGTTAAATATCAAGAGTGTCGTCTATCAATACTAACAGATGTAAGTAAATCAATCGGAGACGTTTTAAGGAATAATTTTGTTTGTTTCTCTTTTTAAGCCGAAGTTGATCGTTATAAAGAACATGCGATGGATAACTAACATTAGAAATAATGAAAGCACGTGAACGTATTCATTTTATATTGGATAAATTGTCGGTTGGGCAGGTTGATAGTGATCTAAAATATTCAATATTGAATGAAGGTAAATATAAGATAAAGTCGATGAACTTACAAGAATTCATTTTTATATCTATACTTTAGATGAGTTCACCGAAGATTTACATTATATGCACGATGAATTATTACAAGAATTGGAAGCACAGTACGAGACAAATAAAGCAATGTATGACCAAATTGAAAGCTGGAACATTCTGTTTCGTGAATATCAAGATTTTGAAGTATGTTGTTGTTGCTCACTTCAAACAAACAACAATGATCATCTTATTGTTATATATTTTAGAAAACATCAACAAATCCTGATCGTTTTTATATACGTGGCTATAGTGCTATAACAGAATCAAAAACACGTAAACGTCTAGAACATCAACTAAAAGAACGTGAATTAAAATTACAATCGTTCAATGAAGATTATCAACGAAAAAATCATGATCAGGAATTTAAAATTAATGGTCTGCGTGTTATGTCATATGTTGCTCAAGCAAAAGAAAATTATCAGAAATCAAAAGTACGTGATCAACGAGTAAGTAATCATAGATATTCACTGAACAGAAAAAATGACGGTAATAAATTCATCAACTGTTAGATATAGGAATTATGTGTAACGTTGGCAAGATTAGTGGCCTAATTTACCGGTACAATGATATGAACGAAAATTCTATGAAATAGGCATGTTACATGAGATTACCAACTCAAGAAATATATACCAAATTTAATGACGTCTGGTACTTAAGAGTTTTGAACTAAGCTCTTTCTTTTGACTCATTTCGATTTTTTCCAAAATGAGTGTAAATGGGATTTCTAAAAACCGTGGTTTTTGGCATACTAGACCAGAGAAAATTCTTTTTTAGAAAAACCCTGTAGTTCTGAAAAGTTTTCGAGACGCCACCGTATTCAGGGCACAATAGGCTACATTTTGAAAAAAAAATCAAGTCTTCAGCGTAAAGTTGAAATTCAAAATTTAAATTTTTTAGCTTTTTTTAAAATTCAAATATCTCAATTCGGGTAATTGATGGAGACCTCGGACAAACGCCATTTAATAGAGAATTTAAAACTAAACGAAGCAGAACTGAAATATTTGAAGTTTCAAAAAAAAAAATAAAAATTCAAATTTTGAACTGGATACTCGAATTTTTTTTCAAATTATAGCCCATTCTCTACTGAAACCAACCATGTTATTTGAAATGTTCCATCGTTTGTCAATTTTTCTAAAAAGGTTTTTCTCTAGTCTGGCACGCCCAAAATCACGGTTTTCTGGAAACTCTACTTCGAGCGATTTTAAAAAAATCTAAATGAGTCAAAAGAAAGAGCTTAGTTCAAAATCCTTACGTATCAGACGTCATTAAATTTGAACCGAATGGCGAAGAGTTAGCCTAGGCGAACTTTCTCATTTAACACGCCTATACAGTTCTGTTTGGTAGTCCAAAAACTTATATCTGAAATTAACTGTTCCACTTTCTTACCTATCGTAGTTCATAGAATAATGTTAACCAATGGACTGTATCTCTTGCTGTACGGCTGCCTAATATATATGAAATTGTCGGAACATGCTATTTTTTGACTAACTATTTGAAAAACAAGACTATCATAACTGTGAAAAGATTTGCGTAAAATATCGGTGAGAATATATAATTGGTATTTTGATGGTTTGTAGCGTTACAAACATTGACTCCAATTAGAAAATGGAAAAATTTTCTGTTTTCTTAAGTTTTTGTCGACAACAATGAAAAACTATCTGTCTCTCCTTAGAATCCTTCGCGTAAATCATCAGAAGCTATAGCAAGTGCTCATGTTCATCGGAGCAATGTTGCACTTTCATTATGTGTACCAGCGTAAAAATAAAAATAAAATGAACAAAACTAATTATCTTCATATTTGAAACTTCATGTCTCTCCTTCTCTCTCTTTATACTTATAATATTACAATCAATAAATTCTCTTTATAATTTTTTTTCAAAATATATTTTGTTTATTTATATTGAAGTTTTCTTGTGAAGTGTAAGAATACGCATTCGATTCTCTTTTCTTTCTCTTTTGTACGTTCAGCGGTTCATTTTTGTTGTTTAGTGATGATAAATTAGTCTTCGATGAACCAGAAATGGATAGCGTTCAAAAAGGTGTCAGTGGTTTATACATTGTAAAATGGAAAGACGATAAAGAGAGGAATACAAATTTTGAAAAAGAATTAGTTAAATCGATAGAAGAATTTGAAGAGATTAAACAAGGTACGATAATTATTTTATCTTAGAATATTCTAGTAGGTGACGTTATGGCATTCGGTTTTTCCACAGTGGTCATCAGACCGTCTTGTAAAAAGTCCGCCGTAGACGTCTCTAAAAAGCCGCGACAACCATTTTCTTTTCGTTTTTCTAGAAAAAATGCTTGAAGCACAATTGGAAGAAACTGTACAAAAAATGGAAGAAATCGAAGAAAAGTTAGAAAATATAAGAAAGAAAAGAAGAATTAATTAAAGTATGTTTAACTTATTATTTTATCTATTTATAAGTATAAAGATATTGATGTTTGTTTTAGCTTATTTGGAATTGAACCACATTAGTTTATCTTTTTAGCTTAGGGTCACTATTTACTAATTGGCTGATATAATCATGCCCACTGTGACAGATAATAATCGTCTTCGATGGTTCTTTAATGTCGTTTTTATTAGTTTTCATTAGTTCGCTATGTAAAGCTATAGATGTACGTGGTATTCATTGGAAAAACAGTCTAAGCGGAGGAAAGACGTGTCTGTACTTCAATCTATGCGCTGAACATAATAACGTAACGGTCGTCTGCACTCACTCGGTCCCTTCACTGTAGGAACTTATATCTGCGAACGATCTTCCATGACTTTGAATCAAAGACAAGGCTCACATTAGTTGTATCACCACCCGACTCATTTTACCTAAATCAGAAATCAATCAAATCAGTTAGCAACCCTGTAGGCGAATTTAAGAAAGTTTTAGGGAAAGTTATTTGAATTTTATCGAGGATTACGACATCAAAAATCAGTCTTAATTAGTACAATGATTACTAAAACAAACACAAACAAGACGTCATGTCACATTAAGGTAGACAAATGCTAGCAAGAAAATAAGCAATTTTTTGTTCTAAAACAGTAATAAGCGACGCAAGCGGTTACTTAGGAAATACCAAGTAATCAATCACTGAGCTAATTTATTCAAATGCCTCTTTATTTTTTTCTGATGGACACTCGTCGCACAGCTTGTACACTTAAATTACATTCTGCGCCGGACAAGTGACTCCTAAAGCATATTTTACATCATTGATCATTTTTCAGTATTATGACAATAGATTATCTTCTGTACTGCTGTCGATTGTACAGTAATACATGTTTTATTCTTGGTAACAGTTTTGAGAAGTTGTTTTGTACATTTTATTTGGATCTTTATAGATAGTGAAATATACTTGTATCACCCTTGTGTCGATGCACTATCCCTTGTGCATCGAACTAGTCAAAAACTTTGTTTTTTATTAAAAATATTTTTCTAAGGATAATTAATAACGATATATTAATCTCCATAAATGACGATCGTACTAAAAAATTATTCCGTTTTAGACTAGACTTCTTTTTTCTCCCAATCTAATAAGCTGAAAAACAATACCGCAAGCGATGATGATTCTACTTGCCCTCTCTTAGTTTAAATAGTGCTGAGAGATGTATTATAACTGAGCTTGCATTTTTGTGCTATGTAAAATTATGGTTCATATGTATATATATATGTATGTACATATATCAAGTCAGCATACGGGACTTACAGTTACACTTTTTACGAAGCAAAGTTAATAATCAGAAAGATTTTATAAATAAAACTTCTCTTGCATCTTTCCATTTGTAGCAGTCACCCGTTCTTTGTAACCGTTTTACTGAAATATAGCCTTCGCTTAAGGAAACACTATACTTAAAAATGTATTACTTTTTATAATTCAAATATTGAAAACAAAGAAGAACTTCGTTAATAATGCAGCAGTGATGATGAATCTCCTTCAGTGTTCAAGATAAAGGCAGAAAACCAAAAATAATTCGACATTGAAAAATTAACTGCTCTCGAGCATTTACAGCAACAACAATCAAATGAACAGTTTCATGAAAATATATCGTTCATAATTACTATGACGATAATTTTATCCACTCTGATTTATTTTCGGTCGAGATCGGCTCCGTGCCAATCATGGAGTACAAACAACGCATAGTTTTTTCGTTCCTACAAATTCCTGCAAAAATTAGTTCTATTTAGTTTAAGCGATGTTATACAAATCAATATAATTGTAAACAATCTAGAAGAAAAAGACTGATTTTGTTAATGAATTAGCCAAATATTGTCAAATCAAATCTATCAGAATAAATCTAGTGAACAAACAGTAGAATATAACGACGACATAACTGATGAAAACAAAAAATATAGTAATTACTCATCAGAACGATAAAATCGGAAAAAAGGGAGACTAAGTTGTTTTTAAATAAACAGCAAAATCACACGAACCATGTCAAAAGAATATTTTTTTATTATATCAAAAATACATAAAAAATAAAAGTAACAAGATAGAAAATATGTTTGTTTTCAATGACTATCGGCATATTGTTTAATTTTAATTGAAACTCATCATCATCATTTCCAGTTTCTAATGATACTCCCAGAATAGAAGGCCAGTCTGAAGAGAAAATTTTTGTAAAACGCCCTAAAGGGGTAGGGCAGTTTTTCACCAAAAAAAGTGCGATTCGAAACTATCACAGAAGGCCATGGCGTTCTATTCTGGGGATTTTTTTCAACAGGTAAGTCGACAATAACAATGAAACGTTTTAATAATGGATATAAGATTAAACAAAGTGCTTATTTAGAGAGGAATATTTTGACCTTTTAAAAGATATCTTGTTTAGTGTATTTAAACAATATATAGATATTGTTAAATAATCCACAAGTTGAAGGAGTGCGCGGATGATGTGTTTCATATAGGCATATTAGAACAATAATTATAGAACAAAGTTATATATAGAACAATTATTATAGAACGATTATTATAGAACAAAGTTTCAATGATTGTTTTAGTTCAACGGGTAGAGAAATAAATTCAAGGTGAAATTATTTGATAATTTTATGTGCTACCTGATAATCTTAAAAGCACTGCGGAAAAATGATAAACGATTGATGAGTAATTATACCTCGAATACGTTTAATAAAACGTTTTTGTTTCTTGTCATTTAACGTTAAGCAAGGTAAACACGTTGTACTTTCATTTTTATTGTGATTTGAAACCATCGAGCTAACTTTTTAGGTTTGTAATGGATAATTTTCGGTAACAGCTTATAATATGTAGGCTATCATATCGATCTTAAAAAATAAAGAAGTTTAATCGGAAAAAGTTAACAAATGAATTTTCGTGTATTACTACCACCTGTCGAATAAAATTACTCTCCTTTTTCTAACTGTATTCAAATTTAACAATAAGAGAAAATGACTTCACAAGATCTCTTCAAAAAGAAAATCTTATAGGATTTTTTGCTCGATAAATATACCTGTAGTCTAACGGTATACGGAATAATCATGCGAACAAGATTTGTGACTAGAAAATATTTTTTAGCATGACAAGGGAAAAAACTTTTTTATATTTGACTCGCAAAACAGAAACGGGTTTTTCTACGTTTTCTAGTCATCTTGGACTATAAAATAAGCGAACAAATATTGTCGTAATTTTTTCTCTCTTCCTCAAGATTTATCAACAATTGAGTTCGAATGAACCACTAAAATGATAAGTTAGACTAATGATATTAGATTACAAAAAAATCTTATCCTAGTTTGAGACATTGCTTCTCAGAAGACAGATTAAATGTTGTAATGAAATTGTTATTTGTCTCTCATTAGTTTTGTACTATTAGCTCTTTTTTCATTTAGAAACTACTTCACTTTCAAAAGTCGTCTAATGTTTGCATTCGATCCATTTATAGAAGACTTGGATACATATTATGTTGACTTACAGAAACCATTTCCTATTTTTTCTTATTAAAATGAGTTAATTATGGTTATACAATCTTCAAAAAAAAACAAACAGTTCAAATACTCAAATGTTATATTGTTTGTTATGAGCTATAACCTATAAAATGTGTTTAAAAACTATATCTAGGATTGATACTGAGCCTTCTTTTTTTGTATAAAGTCATCAAGATTTTTATGATTGATCACAACAGGGTGTTTTCAATAAGGAAATATGACATGACATAGTAGATATTTAATCAACTATATCAAGAGAATCTTTTACAAAATAGAACATATAGATTTTTGTGCTTGCTATATTCAAATGAACTTTTCTTCACTTTATTTTGTCATTTCAGTATATGTTAGCTGTTTTTTTTCCGGTTCTAAAAACATACGATGACTCTGTATATCAATGTTCTTTGAAATGAAATTATCAAATCACATCTATTTTCTATAAAAACTGAATTGCCGCGTACGTAGGACGAATTTCTTATTTTTTGCTTTTTTTTGTGATTTTTGCTAATAGATTCTTTTTTATTCTCGTATACAAAACACGTCTTCCTGTTTTTGAATGTTACGAAGTATTTAGAAGGAAATAAAAAAATAGAATCAACAAAAAATAACCTTCAAAGCTCTTATTTATTGATAATGAACTTCGTTGTATATATATCAAACGTTGATCTTAAGGACCCCTCTCAGAAATCGATGATTTTCTTAAAAAGAAAATCAAAATTGAGTTTATTACTTAGTCAGATACTCTAAAGGAATCTGTGTTGCTTTCAATAAAAAAAATAGTTTTTTATGGATTTTCTGAAAGCCATCGCAGTAATCAGCCGATTTTTAGTAATTCTTTATTAATTATCGTGGATATAATACCGTCATTTTAACTAATGAAGGCATTTACCTAGTGTATTGTGTTTTAATAACATATTTTTTTGCTTTATAAATATGTATCACACTCGTATATTAAACCTTACGTCTACTGCTGCAGTGGTCTTCAAATTTGTTTTCCGTTTTTCTCTGAATATGGTTTTGGCGCAATAAAAATGCTACTTCTCCTAGACGTTTCATCGCAGAACCTTCATTTTTTTTAATTTTGAAGCTGAGCTATAAGTCTAAAAATCTATGGAACAGAGTTTTGAATTTCGCCTTCTGTTCCGAGAAAACTGCAAAGTACTATCTCAGGTTTCACGGGTTTTTCGAAGTTTTTGACTTGAAACTTTTACAGAAGATGAACGAAAGTGAAAATGAAAAATGTGTTTCATAGATTTTTAGATCTAAGTGTCTACTTTCATTTGAAACTATCCGCACCTTTGTACTCCTCCTCAACAAAAAAGCCGTAGCATTTTTTGTGAGAGTCACATTTTGTCCCTTGTGACAGTGATAACTCGAAACGTTTCAACTTTTTGAACTCAAATTTTTAGCACAGCCTAGTTAGACAGTAAGTATTAACATATGTACGTTCCATTAAGATCGCTTGT